GTGTGGGCCCTGCTGTTTTTTTTTGGGGGGGGGGGGGGGTGATTGTTTTAAAAGGCAGAGGGAATCTTGTGAAAATTCTTGGCAAGTTGAATGGAGCATGTTATCAGAAAATACTGCATTCTTCTGCACGAAAGCTGCGCATGGGATGCTCTTGGACTTTCCAGCACGACAATTACCCTAAGCATAAGGCATTGTTGACCCTCCAGTGGTTACAGCAGAAAAAGGTGAAGGTTTTGGAGTGGCCATCACAGTCTCCCGACCTTAACATCGCAATGCAAAGCCCCAGTGCCAAAAGGTCACATTCTAGGCTAGGCTCGCACATAGAGTCCAGGTATAGCCTCCAAAGCTAGTGCTGAGGAAATGCCAATCTAGATAGCCAATATATCGAGGCCAGCTCAAGCAGCGTTGTAGAAATATTAAATGAAGTCACAGATCAAATATTTAATGAAGAGATGAAACAGACTTTAGCATAGCTGAAAAAAAGGTGCTAAACCCTATGATTCTAGCAAAAATCTGAGGAATGCTGGGTAAAGAAGAGGTTATACAGGGGCTGGCTTTACAACTTTTCTGTTTGCCAATGTCCCAACATCTTGTAGGCAACAGTAAAACTCAACGTTTTCTGAATTATGGTTTCCCTCAAAGGACTATGAAGAAAAACATGAATTCTGTATAGATAACAAGCATTTGTACAGCTAGTGGTGTTTGACATTAGATTAGATGCATATTGCAGATCGTCTGGCATTGCCAACAAGTGCAGTACAATTTCAGGTAATTCCTACAACAACAATCTATACTAGGTATGCAATGATACAGATACCAGTACCGACAGTGGGCATTATCACGACGTAGCTTGCTGGTAACCTCACAGCAGCCTTCTTGGGAACCACGTGGCACCTCAAGGATCAAGAGACCATCAGTTTTCTTACTGATGGGTTGCCTATGGAAGGCCATTTTCCAGAGAGTGAAGTTCCTATGGTGGGGTGAGCATTCAATTGTGTGGGAATCCGAGAGGCGCACAAGGGTAAATCTATTTAAGTATACAGCGGAGTTGCATTGCTTGAGCAGGTCTACACCAATCCAGTAGTTTGACTAGTTGGCAAGCTGTATGATATCTAGTCATTTCCAGTATATCTATGCCCCCAGAAGACTTGGCCAAGGCGATAATTTGGCAGCTCAGTTTGGGGTGTTAGTGTGCCCATACAAAGTTGAATAAAGATTTCAACTTGTTTCAGGTAAGAGGGAGGGATAGGACCAGGAAAAACAAGCTGAATTAAGTTTCAAGAGAATAAACCTAACTTTGTAGAAGGGATGGGAAGTTCAGGACAAAAGTGTCTTAACTTTAAATAATAAAGTTATCTTTTAGTTTATCAATTTGTTGGGTGGCCATTGCAACTCCCATAGCTTTAGATTTTGGATGTTAGTTTTTAGGTAGGCAAGTTCATAAGTCTCAAATTCTTTGAAAAAGTTGTGAAGGGAGATGTCTGTGTTGGTAAGTGAAATAGGTAGGTCGATTTTATAATATCTACTACTGATCTGTAGACCATGGACATTTATGTTGTCACTAATCCTTCAAAGAAAAGGCCCCAAAAAGAGCACAAAAAGGAGAGGCCACAATAGGCAGTTTTGATGAGTACCACTGGAAATTGTGAAGGGATCTGAGAAGACAGATTAACCTTGACTGAGGCCAAGGGCGTGGATCATGATGTTCATAGCATATTCTTCCCAAAGCATGTGTGTCTTAGGACCGATATTATGAATCACCAGTTCACCTGATCAAAAGCCTTTTCTGCGTCAGTCGCCAGACTGGAGGTGGGTCTAGATAAGTGGACCAAGTTAAGAACCATGATAATATTGTGAACTTAATGGGCTGGAATAAAGCCTATTTAGTCTCGATTGAATATATACTAATTGACACTAGGAAGCAGGAAGTTGTCCAGAATTTTAGAGAACAATTTTAAATCTTGTTTAAGAATAAAATATGGCAGTAGCTAGCACAGGAGGAGATAGCTTTCCCTCACAAAGGAATTACCTGTGTGTACCCTCAGTGAGACAGGAATCAAGTGACAATATTGGTACAGCAAGTTGAAGGGCTTTTTTTTTTTAAGTCAGGAGCCAGGCAAATAAATAAATTAGAATATTGAATCTTAAGTTCATCTAGGCGAGATGATTTGCTTGGTTAAATGGAAAGGACAGCCATCCGAAGTTCATCATCCATTATTGTCGAGATCAAGGTAGACTGTAGGACACCTGTTCCATTTCACTTTTCTGTATTGCTTTAAGCTGGCTTGGTATTGAGCCAATACACACAAAGCCCTTGACTATTTAGGCAAGGAGAGTTCAAATATAGCACTTGCATGAAGGACCTTCATCATTTCTTTATAAGTAGTATCTAAGTAGTAGATAATTTAAAACAATGGAACAGCAATATTTAGCACATGCTAAACTTCAAATTGGTAAACAAACTAAAATAATAAAGACTACCAAACAAAAACGAACACAAAAACACCACAGCATAGTTGTAAAGTTGGTCTTAAAGTTTTAAGTTAGGGGACCAGACCATCTTTGTAAACAGGAATACTAGAGGTTATGCAGACTGCAATAAACTCGAAAACTTACCACTACCCAAGTCAACAAAGAGATCGTCCTCTGTCATCTTTATTTCATCAATCATCTGAGCTACCAAATCGAAAGAAGTCTCGCCATACACTTCAGGAGAAAATGGCTCATAATTATTAAGCTTCTCTGGGTCAGTAACAGAGTGGTTGTAGACCTGCTGCAAAATATGGCGGAGGAGACCTGTGGACGGGCGGGTGTTTAATTTCATTGGATGAGTGGTGCCTTTCCACTAAGGGAAAAAGAAAATCAGTGTTAGTCCTTTTCCATCAAAATGCAAAAAATAAACGATAGATCAAAAAGTGAACAGTATATGCTGTCCAGGAAGACTTCAGGAAAGCAAGTTAATATTAAGTCTCAATTACCCCAGTCACATTGAAACACAGCAACTTGAGAGGACAGGAAAACAAACATCAATATCCTGGTTTACAGGACATCAACCTTGCACTCTGTTAATGGATAAGATTTCTGCATTTTTAATGGACCTGCCATTTTGCCCAAAAATTAAGATTCTGTTGTAGTGATCTTGGCATAATTTTTTAGAGCCAGTGACTGGCTATCACCTATATGGGCTCAGGCAGCTATAGAGTTAGAGTTGTAAGGTGCTGGCGACTGTGTGCCCACCTCCCATGCGCCGCTGGCTATTCTGGGCTTCGCTATCCCTCCCTGCAGGCCCGGGACAGATACAGTGGGTCTGTGTACCTCGATTGGAAGGAGGAGATCAGCACACTTCCAATGACTAATCGACCCCGATTTCACTGAAAACGGAAAAGATGTCTATTATATCACTTCTAGTTTGTGTTATTTCTCCAGCTGCTGTAGACCAGATAAGAAGCTGACAAAGCATTATTCATCAGCTACTTTGGGGTTTATAGGTGACATCAGGGGTCCAATAGACCCCTGATGTCTCCATAAAGGGGACCCTGCATGGCCTCAAAACATTGCGCTGTACATGTGACAATATGCGTCAAGACGTACTTTTGGACACATTACCAAGGTGTGCTGGTGACGTTCCTGTTTTTCTTCATAAAGGGGACCTGTCGCATTCTTTTTGCAATCATATAGGTGGCTCGTTATCCCCCTATGTGATGGCAATTAAGTGGGGAAAAAAAATCTGTGCGCAAAGACGAAGATTTCGCCACATGATACACATCACCATGAACGTCAGAGCAACAGCATTAATTGTAGGGCAATCAGCCACTGTTAACACTAAATAAAATAGCAGTGAGAAGGGCACGAGGGCAGGCAATGTGTGCAGTAGTGGAATGGTAGACAGAATGACGCTGGGCACTGTGTTCAGAAGAGAAGTGCCCTAAGGAATAGCAGCATACTGTTTATCATAGGGTATGACAGTGGGCAGCATGTGCAGGAGAGAAGCACAGGGAGGGTACTAGAGGCAGTATATGCAGTAGAAGATTAGGGAAGGTTTTCAGAGGAGGCAGCTGCACATCACACCTCAGCATGAGCTTCCGGATTGTGATCTGAGTGAAACATCCCTGTTTAGTGTGCTTTGACACAATCACTTGAAGTTTCCATTGGGAAAGCATGCGACAGGGTGACACATTATTGAACTTTAAAAAAAAAAAAAATTGCGTTCCTCTATGTGTGGCAATCAATACAGGCAAGAATGTACACCCACCACGTAGAAAGTCTGCGTCCCGGGTGTGCATCTGTACCTATATAGATGTGCAACTTCGGTTTGGCATTTACTAGTGTGCAGCCATGTCCTGCCATTGAGCATGCAACAAACACTTATAGCCACAGGTTTATGCATGGACATGCAATCTTAAGTCAGAATTTCTCTCATATGATGATTCAGGTCTGCTGGGAGGCAGCTGATGTAACTTGTGAAAAAAATCTGTAAATGGACAAGGTTATCCGACAGCTAAACTCTTAAGGTTTGTTCACACCATGTACGGATCATGTCCAGACCAGAACAGTTTGTTCCCGGAAAACCGCGGGGAACAAGACCGCGCAAACATCGACATACACGTGGATTCCGCGCGTTTACGGCTATTACTATAGCCGGAAAGTACAGAATCCCCCCATAAAATCATGCTTGAATTATTTTGTGGGATGCGGCTGCCGCAAAAGTATGAACAACGCACATTGCAAAGCATTGTTATGTTTAGCGCAGTTCCGTGCGTATTCATATAGCGGGAAACCGCTCATGTGTGAATGGAGCCTTAGGCCAGCTCTGGAGAATAAGCAAAAAGCATAGTAGCAGCTGTGGAACATCAAGTTCTATCCAAGCAGCTGTAAAAGGTAAGCTAGCATGTTTCCAAAAACAATCTGACTACATACAAACTGACCAATTGGAAAGAATATTTACCGTACATTTTTGAGAAATCCAAGTATTCAGCAGTCATGTATCTTAAGTAAATGCTTTTGAGCTAGCACTTGTAAACAGGTTTACAGGTTGAATACCATAATTAATTCTACATCAAGTAATAAGTACATATTTGATGCTGAACTAAAGTTCACTTTAACATGGCAACTGCAGTCTAACCAATTACAAAAGTAGGTTTACATAATTGCAAAACCAATACAAATAAATGGTTGTAAAAACAGGAAAATTAAAACGCGCACACACACACACACACTAAAGGCAATATAGTGCTGTTGGGGTTGTACAATTAGGCGCCTAACTAAAAGAAAACAAAATATATTAAAAGGTTTAATCCAGATGAACCGGTTGCAAGATAAGGCAAGATAACAAAACATTTTTTTTTAAAAAGGAAATTTTTATGGACAAACAATTATAGCAGACCAATTAAGAAGCATGGAAAAGTCTAACATGAATAGTACCACCTGTGCAAAAACTGAATTACAGTGCCTAACTTTTAGGGCCATCCCCTCCTGAGAGAAACATGCCATTGCCAACCTTTTCCTAAAGATTTTAGACCAGGGGTCTCAAAGTACCTGCCTGCGGGCCAACTCCGGCCCACGAGCCGGTACTATGTGGCCTGCAGCCAGCTGGCAAGTCAGGCACACTGTCATTGACCGCGTGCCTGACTTGCGGGAGCAGCTACACGGTCTGCATCTCTGTCGGATGCAGACCGCAGAGCTGCTCCCGTCAACTCCGGCCAGAGCTCTGTCAGTTCGGAGATTCGGCTGAATGATGGATCTAGGGCTGCAACAACTAATCGACATAATCGATTATAATCGATTATTGAAAAAGTTGTCAACTTTTTCAATAATCGATTAATCGGCTTCCGATCAGTTGGCCCTGTTCACGG